GGATTATACCTACTCATTAAACAAAACAACAAACTCTGTATTTCAGTTTTCTACATCTGCAAAAAAAAAAAAAAAAAGGCTGAGCAATATCTCATCAGCTTTATATGATTGCTAAACAAGAGGATTCTAAATTATGCCAGAGAAGGGAAAAATTGTGAGCACTGCTTAATCTGGGTGTAATTGCCAATCTCATTATCATTTATGATCCATTAGTTCCTGGCCATGACATAATCATCATAAGATGTTCCTTTCAATTTTATACTTTGTCTAATGGGAACATATGGAAGAGAGCATTGCTTTTTTTTTATACAGTACATGCACAGATGAATTTTCTCTAAAGCAGTGTTTCAAAAAAATATACTTAGCATCTTCATTTGAAGTGAGTACTTTATATTGTTCCCCAGACGCAATTTTTGTTTAACACATATGCAAAAACAACCTTTAAAGTGTAAAGGCAAACTTTTTTTTATAGTTTTGGATAGCGTGGGGATGGGTTAGTCCCTCTAACAAGTTTTTTTTTTTAATTTAATTTTTATTCAGAATTTTTCAGGTTTACATGACATTGCAAGAAAAACAATGGTAAGGAACATTGCTCTACAAACTTGTTGCATATGAGCTTCCAATACAGTGAAGATATCTAAGCATATCATACAAAAAGGAGGAGAGTGGGCCAGGGAAAACCTAACCCCCATACCTCTGGAGCAGAAAATACATTCAGGGAGGCACTTAGTTGAAACAGCGACAGTGGGTTACAATGTCCCCTGCTATAGAGCGGGACATCCACTGAGGATAATGACTTGTGTAGGAGGTGCTGACTGTAATCATGTCTGAGGGGTCTAAGAAAGGATGCGAATTCTGGGGTTGAGACACCACCTTGCCCATTTTTTGTGGAACTATGGAATCATCAGGTGAGCTTTGGCGAACATGAATCCTCTAACAAGTTTTTGTTGCAGAAGGTGAAGGGAACAATAGGTAAGGGTAAATCTTCCAATAGAGACACCTATTACAATGACAACTGTCTCAGAGGTGAGTGACACCTAACTTCTGGGTGAATCGACGTTTCATTATTTTTGCAGTTGTGTTTTTGAATCACAGGAAACAGTCATTGTCTGTCTAGGTAAGGATAGCATTGGTGTATTTGTGCAGGGTGGGGAAAATATAAGTACTTTGAGAACTTGATGTATCCGCAGTGGTGTAAGAAAATATTTCTGCATGTATCAATATCTAAAAAAAAAATAAGCCGGACTTCAGCAATGTTCCTGATAAGGAACCCTTGCCTTTGCTTTCCTTCATTTTTTTAATAGAAACCTTGGTACAGTATATAATTTATGGACACCTAAAATTTCATCCTCAATCACTTGCCTTAGAAATTCTCTATGCCAGCAACATGACTTTAACAGGAATTACTATATCAGAGCATACAACAAAGTGGTTTTGAGTTTTAAAAAAATGGACCACTCCACCCAAAAGGGGAAGTTCCACTTTAAGGCCCCCCCCCCCCCCACCTTTTTCACAGTTGGCAATCTTTTAGAGAGGGGGTAGGAGCCGATTTTGACAGGTACCCATTCCCACTTCCAATCAAATTGCCTAGGCGATCTGAGCGCAAGTGCTCCCTCTCCCCCTTCCCTCCCCGCAGTCTTCTGGGACACAGCACAGGTCCCAGAAGGCTGCGGGACCAATCACAGTGTGCAGCACAACTTGCACATGAGCAGTGGGCATCCAGCAGTGAAGCTGCAAGCTGTCACAGTCGGGTGCCCACAACTAAGATGCTTGTGCAAGGGAACGGAGAAACTTCCTGATGCCCCCTCGGGTGAGCACATCCCTGGATTGTGGGACAGGTAAGTGTCTGTTTAATAAAAGTCAGCAGCTAAAGTTTTTTTGTAGCTGCTGACTTTTCATTTTTACAACAACGACTGGAGCTCTGCTTTAAAAAGGGATAAGCTGAACCTGACTGGGTTTGGATTCAGGTGGGTTTTGAGGAACACTACTGAAGTTCAGGTTCCAAATCTGAACCTCTTTGAAGTCCATGGGGGCTGAATGTTTTTAAAGCAGTAATGATAGGCAACGGGTTGAATAACAAATGGCATGGGGGGGGAGAGGGTTCTGTTCTGGGAAATGTACCAAAGCAAAAAACTATTTTTGAGAATTCTGTTTGGCCGGCAGCAGTGATTTTACTAATGCTTAAAGGGCAACCAAAATTCCTTTAAAGCTGTGTTCTTCAACCTGTGGCTCTTTGCTTGCATTATCTGGCTCTTGGGGCACTATTTTTCCCACTTATACGAGGAACTATTCCTCCCACTGACAACAAACAATTGGCCATAATTACTGCCACTGACACTAATGATACAAGGAACTATTCCTCTCACTGACACCAACAATTGGCCATAATTACTGCCACTGACACTAACGATACAAGGAACTATTCCTCTCACTGACACAAACAATTGGCCATAATTACTGCCACTGGCAACTAACGATACAAGGAACTATTCCTCTCACTGACACCAAACAATTGGCCATAATTACTGCCACTGACACTAACTATACAAGGAACTATTCCTCACTGACACACCAACAATTGGCCATAATTACTGCCACTGACACTAACTATACAAGGAACTATTCCTCCCACTGACACAAACAATTGGCCATAATTACTGCCACTGACACTAACGATACAAGGAACTATTCCTCTCACTGACACAAACAATTGGCCATAATTACTGCCACTGACACTAACGATACAAGGAACTATTCCTCCCACTGACACAAACAATTGGCCATAATTACTGCCACTGCCACTAACGATACAAGGAAACTATTCCTCCCACTGACACAAACAATTGGCCATATTTACTGCCACTGACACTAACTACACAAGGAACTATTCCTCTCACTGACACAAACAATTGGCCATAATTACTGCCACTGACACTAACTATACAAGGAACTATTCCTCTCACTGACACAACAATTGGCCATAATTACTGCCACTGACACTAACGATACAAGGAACTATTCCTCTCACTGACACAAACAATTGGCCATAATTACTGCCACTGACACTAACGATACAAGGAACTATTCCTCTCACTGACACAAACAATTGGCCATAATTACTGCCACTGCCACTGCCACTAACGATACAAGGAACTATTCCTCCCCACTGACACAAACAATTGGCCATAATTACTGCCACTGACACTAACTAATACAAGGAACTATTCCTCTCACTGACACAAAAACAATTGGCCATAATTACTGACACTAACGATACAAGGAACTATTCCTCTCACTGACACAAACAATTGGCCATAATTACTGCCACACACTAAACTATCTATACAAGGAACTATTCCTCTCACTGACACAAACAATTGGCCATAATTACTGCCACTGACACTAACGATACAAGGAACTATTCCTCTCACTGACACACAACAATTGGCCATAATTACTGCCACTGTCACTGACACTAACTATACAAGGAACTATTCCTCTTACTGACACCAACAATTGGTCATAATTACTGCCACTGACACTAACGATACAAGGAACTATTCCTCTCACTGACACAAACAATTGGCCATAATTACTGCCACTGACACTAACGATACAAGGAACTATTCCTCTCTCACTGACACAAACAATTGGCCATAATTACTGCCACTGACACTAACGATACAAGGAACTATTCCTCTCACTGACACAAACAATTGGCCATAATTACTGCCACTGACACTAACTACACAAGGAACTATTCCTCTCACTGACACAAACAATTGGCCATAATTACTGCCACTGCCACTGACACTAACGATACAAGGAACTATTCCTCTCACTGACACAAACAATTGGCCATAATTACTGCCACTGCCACTAACGATACAAGGAACTATTCCTCCCACTGACACCAAACAATTGGCCATAATTACTGCCACTGACACTAACGATACAAGGAACTATTCCTCTCACTGACACAAACAATTGGCCATAATTACTGCCACTGACACTAACGATACAAGGAACTATTCCTCCCACTGACACAAACAATTGGCCATAATTACTGCCACTGACACTAACGATACAAGGAACTATTCCTCTCACTGACACACAAACAATTGGCCATAATTACTGCCACTGACACTGACACTAACGATACAAGGAACTATTCCTCCCACTGACACAAACAATTGGCCATAATTACTGCCACTGACACGAACGATACAAGGAACTATTCCTCTCACTGACACAAACAATTGGCCATAATTACTGGCAGTGACACCAACGATACAAGGAACTATTCCTCCCACTGACACAAACAATTGGCCATAATTACTTCCACTGCCACTAACTATACAAGGAACTATTTCTCTCACTGACACCAACAATTGGCCATAATTACTGCCACTGACACCAACGATACAAGGAACTATTCCTACCACTGACACCAACAATTGGCCATAATTACCACCAACAATGGGACATTATTCTATTCACTATTCCATCCACTGACACCGATGATGGCGGGGGGTACTATTTCTCCCACTGACACCAACAATGGGGCATATTTCTATTCACTATTCCATCCATTGACATCAGCGACAGGGCACTATTCCTCTCATGGAACATGTAACATATTCAAGCATCTGCACTTTCTCTCCTCCCGATATCCCTCTCCCTATGACAGCAGGCAGAGGATCTTCACCAGAAATCTCTACCTGTGCTGACTATTATCAATTAAATTATTATTAGCTAGCTCTGAGGAATATGGAACAGCACCCCTCTATGTTATAGTCATCAGGGGAAGGGCATGTTTCTGTGGCCTAATTTCTAAGTAAAAATCAAGTAAAATAACCACGAAAAATTAAAACAAATGCAGCCACTGCGTTTAAGGATTGCTAAGATGCAATATATTCAAATTTTGTTTTTAGATACACTTTAAGGTAAAGAGGGAGACATACTAAAACTGCATTGTGCAAATTGTGGTTTAGCTCTGCATAGAAACCAATCAGCTTCCAGGTTTTATTGTCAAAGCTTAATTGAACAAGCTGAAGTTAGAAGCTGATTGGCTACCGTTCACAACTTCACCAGATTCTAAGTGCTCCAGGTTTAGTAAATACCCCCCAAAGTTTTTACTTGCAATTGTGTGAATGGCCCTTGTATTTTTATAGGTCATAGACACTTGATTTGTGATTTCATTGTTGTGAGTCCTGCTTGGAATAGATATGATGCAAAGCACCTTAAAAGTAACAGTAATACTGTATCTGTGCACAGTCCCCGAATGCTTTTGCTAGTGTGCTTAAATCTTTCCATAAGCTATACAATAGAGAATACTATATGTTGTGGGCTACGTGTATTTGTATGGCTGTACATGTGTTTGGTAAAAATAAAACCTGTTTTTTAAAATGTTATTAAATCTAATTTATTTGTGCCTTGATTGCTGTTTTGCACTTGGCTTTCCCCCATAATAAAATACTAAATTGTCGCTCCACAATTCCCGGATGAATAATATTAAACTTTCGAGAGCAATGTTCTTGCTAAACCACACTTAGATTTATGTTCCTTCCTCCTTCTGTTTTGAAAGAATAGATCAGGCTCCTCAAATCACAGTGTCATAATTATATTGCTTCCCAGCAGAAATAAGAATCAAGATTGACTTGAAAGCAAGCAAATCAAGAACTCTGTTTAAAGTGTAAAAAAATTATGTATTTAAATGGCAACTGTGCAAAATGCAGTATATAATTACTTACATCCCTGTATATGTAATTGTATCTTAGTCTTCATTATGCTGTTACACTAAAAACAGTAAAAAATATAACACAATGTATAATCATGGTTAATGTTCATATTATTACTGTGAATTGAGAATGTATATAGTTTATTTTCCTTAAGCCATTGTTTATTAGCCTCAGTATAATTAGTTAACCACTTGCCCTCCAGAGGATTTACCCCCCTTCCTGATACGATGCTGCGTTACTTTAACTGGCAATTGCGCAGTCATGCAAAGCTGCACCCAAATGAAATGTATGTCCTTTTTCCCCACAAATCAAGCTTTTTTTTCGGTGGTATTTGATCACCTGTGTGTTTTTAATATTTTGTGCTATAGACAAAAAAAAGCCTGACAATTTTGAGGAAAAAAACAATGTTTATGACTTTTTGCTATTAAACATATCCAGTAAAAGAATGTAAAAAATAAAAATTTTGTCAGAAATTTAGGCCAAAATGTATTCTGCTACATGTTTTTGCTAAAAAAAATTCCAATATGTGTAAATTAATTGGTTTACGTGAAAGTTTATAGCGTTTACAAATGGTGGTATATATACTGGAATTTTAATTTTTTTTTACTAGTAATGGCGGCGATCATCGACTTATAGTGGGACTGCGGCGAGCATTCTGACACTGGGGGGGCCTGACTAACTGTCACTGACATGCCTAATGACACCAATACAGTGATCAGTGCTAATATAAAGCACTGACACTGTACTAATGGTACTGGGCAGGATGGGGTTAACATGTGGGACTATAAAAGGGTTAACCGTGTACTGTTTCACTTTGTGGTGTGTGAGTGCTTTCCACTGTAAGCACACCGCTTTGTATGGCTCTGCTATGCAGAGCCATACAGAGCAGTGTACAGGAGCTGACGGGAGAGATCTGTGTTGTTTATACACAGGTCTCTCCCCCGTTGAAGATACTCGGCAATCACCATGTGTCGGTGAGGAATCACCGTCCAGGACCCGGAGATTGACAGCCGAAGTAGCGAATATATATATGTGATTTTGCGCACCTGTTTCACCCTGTAGCAGTGATTCTGCTATAGGGCGGCGCAGAAGCGGTTAATATACTGCCGTCTTGTGGATATTATGGTTATTGCACCATCTTTTTCTGTCTTCATCCTGTGTTCCTCCCACTTGTGATGTATTTCCATTTCACTCTGTCTTTATTGAGATAAATATGGCTGCTAGTCTCTAGGCCACATGTAATCTGCTTCCATCCGGGAACACATTACCATGTTTTGACCTGCAAATACCGTCTTTTAAATCAGTGACTGCCACAGAGACGTTTGACATGATTCGGAAAGTTTACGGTGATGCTGCAATGAGTTGTTTGAGGTGTTTTCAGTGGCATGTGTGCTTCAAGAGCAGAAGAACATCATTGTAAGACAAGAGATCAGGAAGACCTTCTTGTAGCTCAGTCCCCAAAAATGTCGAAACCATTCAGCAAATTATGCATGATGATCGTCAGAGAACAATCCAAAACATTGCTGCCATTGTCGGTGTGTCATACGGAGCAGTTCCGGCAATCCTCATGTGTGATTTAAACATGTGCCGTGTTGCTGCCAAGTTCATTCCCTGGGCTGCTCACGCAGGAGCAGAAAGAACACTGTGTCGAAGTCTACCAAGAACTTCATCAGTGTGCTGTGGATGACCCATTCTTCATGTCAAGGATCATTACTGGTGACGAAACTTGGGTGTATGGGTTTCACGCAGAATTTCTCGTTTGCTCTTTGCTCTAACTTACTGTCCTTGATGAAATAGCAGACATGGTAACGCACGTGGTCAGAATAGCACCAGTTGCACTACTTCCGATGTTCACAGGACGATGTCTGTCTTATGAAGGTCCGTGCTCCCTGTAACTGTGTAGCCTCGTGCTTCCATCTGTTGACATGTTACAAAACTAGTCTCGAAACCTTTTGATACCACCTTGTATACTTTGCATGCTATGCATTGTGTATCTTGCAGTTTTATGTGCAGCCTTTTCTATTTAGTAAAGCACATTAACACACTATAGAGTATTAAGCTTCCTTGGCTTATACCACAAAGAACTTTAAATAGGCACCAAGAAAAACACCAACTACTGAATATATTAATTTTAAAATATTATGCTCATATTGTTTGCATACAGTTTTAGATTGTAATCCTTTTTCATGAACTTGCTTTATAGCTTTCTTTATTCCTATTGCATGTAAATACACTAATTGGCCACTTTATTAGGTACACCTTGCTAGTACCGGGTTGGACCCCCTTTTGCCTTCAGAGCTGCCTTAATTCTTCATGGCGTAGATTCAACAAGGTGTTGGAAACATTCCTCAGAGATTTTTGTCCATATTGACCTGACAGCATTATGCAATTGCTGCAGATTTGTCAGTTGCACATCCATGAACCGTTGATATAAGACAGGATGAATCCATGTTCTGGCTGTACCATCAGAATGTCGCAGTTGAAATCAAGACTCACTAGACCAGGCATGCTTTTCCAATTTTCTATTATCCAATTTTGGTGAGTTTGTGTGAATTGTAGCCTCTCTTTCCTGTTCTTAGCTGACAGGAGTGGCACCCGGTGTGGTTTTCTGCTGCTGTAACCCCTCTGCTTCAAGGTTTGATGTGTTGTGTGTTCAGAGATGGTATTCTGCATACCTTGGTTGTAACAAGTGGCTTTTTGAGCTACCATTATCTTTCTATCATCTCGAACCAGTCTGCCCATTCTCCTCTGACATCAGCAAGGTATTTTCGTCCACACAACTGCTGCTACTGGATATTTTTTTTTTCCCCGAACATTCTTTGTATGCCTTAAAGATGGTCGTGCGTAAAAATTCCAGTAGATCAGCAGTTTTTGAAATACTCAGACCAGCCCATCTGGCACCAACGGTTAACCATGCCAAGTTCAAATCACTTAAATCCCGTTTCTCCCCCATTCTGATGCCCGGTTTGAGCTTCAGCAAGCTATCTTCACCATGTCTAGATGTCTAAATGCATTGAGTTGCAGCCATGTGATTGGCTGATTAGCTATTTGTATTACCGAGCAATTGAACAGATGTACCTAATAAAGTGACCGGTGAGTGAACATTTTCCAGCCTTTCATGATTTCCAGGACAGTTCCTTGATTTGGCCTACAATTCCTTATTCCTAGAAATGGATCAAGGCTTTGAAAATAGAACTAACGCGCTAAACAATCTACTTTTATTCACAGATTAAATGTGTTCCTTAACAATGTTATCCATGAATGGACTATGAAGCAGCACTTATACGATAAGGCTAAGATGTAATCAACCTGCCATGGACAGCGATTATTATTCCTGGCAGCAAATTATTGATCAGGTTCCGTCTTATGTATTGATAATTAGATTGTACAGTACCTACTTCCATCACAGCCTTCTCGCACCTGTTTTGCTTTGAGTCACATACCCATGGTTTAATGATGAGTAACATGTAAGTTGCAAAGAACAAGTAGATTCTAATTTTAGAAATGGATATATAAAGAGTGCCAGGTTCCTCAGTCACAGTATTGTTCATAATGTCCTTAAAAACATGAGCTCAATAATAAAAAGGTGTCCATGAATATTTAGGAAAAAAACATAGCTGACAGCTGTCACTGCAACAATTCTGAAGCTTTTCTTTGGACCACAGTTGCAATACATTAGTAATTGTACAAATATGCCAAAATATTACATAATGGAAAAATTGCTTTTCTTGCTTACAGTGGCTACTTTGAGAAAAAACTACACCGGGCATTTATGCCTTCATACTCCTGTTCATATTTATAATGTATACTGGATATTTTATATAGACTAAAACTTTTTACCTGGGCTCATGTAGCGAGATTTTGCTTTTGAAGCTCGAATTAGACCAACATTAATCAAACTTTGTGTTTTTTGTAAAGGGTTATAATGTGTCTTCTCTTTATCAGTGTTTCCACTGGGCAGATTTTCTCCCACATCTTCTTAAGGTGACACCAGCCATGAGGACAGATTCTAAGGGGATCACTTAAAGGAGACCCAGGCAGCAAGAAAAAATTCTACTCAAGACAGAAAAAAAAACCTTTGAGCTTCAGTTAAACTTTAACCACTTGTAGACTGCTAAACATCCAGGACATTTGTGCAGATTAGCAGATCCCTCTTTGTGCTAGCATGTGTCCCCACTTGATAGTTGAAATTCTAGCCTGCAAGCATAATCCAGTCATCGCGGCTCCTGTTTGAACAGCCACTGCAAAAGTAATAGACTTATATGAAAATCCTTCATCTCTGGAACTAATCAAAGAGTGCCCAACCACACTGAATAAACTCAATAGGAAAGCCAGAATTCACACACAGATGATGTTGGATAACATTATTACATTATAACTTTATTACAAATAGCACATTGCATCCTGCCTTAGGGTGGTTCTGGGTGGGAAGCAGTGCTAGGTCCAGATTTTATAAAGTTGAATGTTAGCTGATATCATCTGTGTGTTTCACCCAATACTGGTTGGATCACAAACAAACAACAAGCTTCTTCGGTAATCTCAAACTAAATGGGGTGCCACAAACTATCCTACTTAAAGCAGAATTTTTTTTTTTTTTTTTTACCATGCAGTGAGAGTATGCCCACGCTGCATGGGTCAATTGCTCATTTTGGTCTAGGGGTTCGGATAGCCAATATATACTTACCAAATCCTCCCATCACAAATTCCATCACAATCCCTTCGACTCCTGCCCCCCCCACAAATCCAGAGGTCTTGTACATTGGACTGTTACTGATGTCATCACACCCACAGACCGACTTTAGATGTGAAGACATCAGGAAAAGTCAACCGCTGGACATGGGGGAGTGCCGTTTTCCAGGGGATCGAAGGAAGCATCGATGCTGTGTTCACCCCTAGTAAGAACGAGCAGTTAAAACAAAAATGTACCTGGAGTTGGGCTGTAGCCTCCCTGGCGGTATTCCTGAGTGTAGCTCGGAGTAAAGTTTCGGTACCACAAGCGGTAACCCTGAGCTACACTCGGGCTTACCATGCGGCATTGCTCCGGGATCCCTCAATCACTTACCTTGTCCTGCGCTCCCGCGATGTCCCTCCTGCAGTGTCCCCAGCAATGTAATCCGGCGGATGCCGGCATCTGTCATCTGGGTTCCGTCGCGAGCGTCGGGACGTACGGGGGACAGAACGGCGGGAAATTTGAAAATGACATTCGCTAAGTTCACTAAAATCACATAGTAAAACATTACTGTATCAAACCATTTCACATACATTTTGTCCCTACTGCTTTGTCCTGTGCCCTGCCTGCATTTTTACTGTTCTTTCTGCCTTTCTGCGGTTTTAGACCAGCTAGAGATCAGCGATAGTAAATTAGAACCACTTGCAGAATTGAGTGATAATGATTCGTGGGGAAATTCGTCATCAAACACTGAAAATGATTCTGCGACTTTGCTCAGCAATGTGCGAACTTGGCGCTATATTTCAAATTTCAGTGTTTTTGTTTTTTTATTATATTATTGAATTAAATTTATTATTATTTTTTATGATTATTTATAATTTATGGTTTCGTATTTCAAATTTTAACATCCCCGGGATGTTTAATAGTCTCTTGTTTGGACAGATTTCAATGCGTTATTCCTAAAAAGTACAGGCCTACAATAAAAAAAATACATATTTCCATGCAAAAAAATGTACCGCTTTGAGCACAGAAATATGGACATAAACAGACCGCTAGGGAGGTTATATAACTCCCCTTACCCCCCCCCCCCCATTTTTTTTCCCCACTCACTTGTAATATTGTGGTGCCTACCCAAATAGAGAATCCAGCATTATCCAGCAGCCATCCACTGTTGAGTGCCACACAACAGGTCCCATACCACCATCTTGGACCTCTTCAGCTGACTGCCTCTCCCAGTTGTAGGCAGCCAGTTCTTATGATGCACCACCTGCCACCCACCGCGACCCACTTTTTGGACCGACTCCTGGCTGCTCTGTGTGCCAATCCTGCAGCCTAATTGGAGATTACCTTTAAATCACTTCTTTTTATACTGTAAAGGTTGCCCTTATTCAAAACACTGTACAGAATCAGAAACAGCTGTACCTTTTTATAGCTTTTATCTGTGTTTAGATAAGGTGCTGCATAAATCATGTTTGCTGAATAGAGAGCACTCACATATACACAGTATCTATCAGCACCGCCATTCATGAATCAGCTGCCACACAAATCATTTTCTTCATGCTCTGCAATGCTTACTGGCTTCCGGGAGTGTTATCTGTTGTTCTGCAAGTCATATGCATGTTTTAACTACTACAATACATACACTGATGGGCACTGAGAGGCTGCACTGATGGCACTGATAAGCTGCACTGATAGATATTGATAGACTGCACTGATGGGTGTTGCTAGGCTGCACTGATGGGCACTTAGAGGCAGCACTGATAGGTGGCACTGATAGGCATTGATGAGGCTGCACTTGTGAGGCGTCACTGATGAGGCTGCACTGATAGGTACTGCTAGGCAACACTGATGGGTACTGCTTGGCAACACTGATAGGTGGCAGTGACTGGCAGCACTGATGGCAATGATAGGGGGCACTGATGGGCACTAAGAGGCTGCACTGATGGGCAGTGAGAGGCTGTACTGATGGCACTGGTGCGCGCTGATTAGACCACACTGATCAGCACTGATAAGCTGCACTGATGGATACTGATAGGCAGCACTGGTAGGCTGCACTGATGGGCACTGATGAGGTGGCACTGATAGGTGACACTGATGGGCAGTGATAGGCAGCACTGATGGGTACTGATTGGAGACACTGACATGTGGCACTGATAATTGTCAATGATGGCAATAGTAGCCAGCACTGACGGGCACTGGGAAGCTCCACTGATGACACTGAGAGGCTGCACTGATGGGCACTGAGAGGCTGCACTTATGGCACTGAGAGGCTGCACTGATGGCACTGAGAAGCTGCAATGATAAGCAGCACTGATAGGCAGCACTGATGGGTACTTATAGGTGACATTGACAGGTGGCACTGATAGGCGGCAGTGATGGTGCTGAGAGGATGCACTGATAGGCACTGAGAGGCTGCACTGATAGGCAGCACTGATGGGTACTCATAGGTGACATTGGCAGGTGGCACTGATAGGCGGCAGGGATGTTGCTGAGAGACTGCACTGATGGGCACTAATAGGTGACACTGATGGGCACTGATGAGGCTGCACTGATGGGTACTGAAAGGTGACACTGATGGGCACTGATAGGCTGCACTGATGGGTACTAAGAGGCGGCACTGATGGGTACTGATAGGTGACAATGACAGGTGGCACAGATAGGTGGCACTAATGGCAATGATAGCCGGTACTGAGAAGCTGCACTGATGGCAATGAGAGGCTCCACTGATGGGCACTGAGAGGCTGCACTGATGACACTGAGAGGCTGCAGTGATAGGTGGCACTGATAAGTGACACTAACAGGTGGCACTGATGGGCTCTGATAGGCAGCACTGATGGGGCTGCACTGATAGGTACTGATAGGTGGCACTGAGGGGCCCTGATAAGTGGCACTGATGGGTACTGATAGGCAACACTGATAGGTGGCACTGAGGGTCTGCACTGATGGACACTGAGAGGCTGCACTGATGGGCACTGAGAAGCTGCACTGATAGGTGGCACTAATGAGGCAGCATTGATAAGCTGCATTGATAGATACTAATAGGCAGCAATGACGGGGCTGCACTTATGAGGCGGCACTGATGAGGCTTCACTGATGGGTACTGATAGGCGGCACTGATAAGATTGATAGGTGATACTGATAGGTGGCACTGACAGGCACCACTGATGGGGCTGCACTGATAATCAGGGTACTGTTGATCAGTGCCCTGATTATCAGTGTAAACAGTGTGCTGACAGCCTTGCAAGGTATCGGCACACCTTTTCTCACACAGACACAACACTTGAGGAAAGTACTGTTGATAACTGGCAAGTCTGTTTACATGTGATCAACTGTGTTTGAACACAGCTGATCACATGCAAAAGGGTCGCTGTGATTGGCCCTTTATCCCCATCTGTGATCAGCTGTGTCAGAAGGACACAGTGGTCACAGAGTCAGTGACGTATCATCCATGGGTGCAGGGTGTTCACTGCACACGGGCCCCGAGGGTTGAGATGGATCAGGAGCAAGGTCGTGGATGATCGGTGCAGCGGTGGGGACAGTTACAAGCACCGATCTCCCTGTATGGCTTTTAATGAAGCAGCTGGAAGCTGCTTCTATTCCCCTTCTTCTTGTGGTTTCCAGCTGCTTCATTGAAAGCTATTCAGAGAGATCACTGCTTGTAATTGTTGCCACTGCTGCACTGATCATCCCTGACTGTGCATCGGATTTCCCTTTTGGGCCGCCCCCATGTGGTCCTCAGCCCCCCCCCCTCCCAGGTCTCTGATGCCTCATCTTATCTGACACAGTGCCCAGCCCCTCCTCCATCCTCCACAACAATGGAGAGGGCCCAGATCTGCTCAGCCTCCCCCTGTCCCCGCCCACACTCCAGTCCATGTAGCTTCTGAGAAGAGGATGTGTGGGCAGGAAATTGTGTGCAGAGCAGCTGGCAGCTGTTTGATGCTTCTGAATGTGCCAGTAAGCTGTGAACCATACATGTGAGTCCTTCCTTCTTTCCTCCATCCATTCCCTCCCTTCCCTTCCTTTCTTCCTCCCTTCCTTCCTCCACCCCCTTCCTTCCTTCTTCCCCTTTCTACCTTCCTCTATCCATTCCCTTTTCTCCCTTCCGCCATCTATTTCCTCCCTCACTTTTCTTCCTTCCTTCCTTCCTTTTTTCCCTCTTCCATCCACTCCCTCCCCTTCCTTCCTCCATCCTCTCCATCTCCATTCCTTCCTTCTTTTCTCCTTTCCTTCCTTCCTTCCTTCCTTCCTTCCTTCCTTCCTTCCTTCCTTCCTCCATTCTTCCTCCATTCCCCTTCCTTCCTTCCTTCCCTTCCTTCCCTTCCTTCCCTCCCTTCCATCCCTCCTTCTTTCCTTCCTTCCTTGCTTCCTACCTTCCATCCTTTCCTGTCTTCCTACCTCCCATCCTTTCCTTCCTTCCTCTTCAATTCCCTCCCTCCCTCCCTTTTTTCTTTCCTCCCTTCCTCCATCCATCCCTCTCTTTCTCCCTTTTCTTCCTTCCCTTTTTCCCTTTTCTTCCTTCCGTCCTTCGTTCCTTCCCTCTTTCCTTCATCCCCTTTCTTCCTTCCCTTCCTTCCTTCATCCCCTTCCTCCATCCATTCCTTCCTCCATCCCCTTCCTTCCTCTCTTCCTTTCTTCCTTCCTCTATTCATCCATTCCTCTTTTCCTTCCTTCCTCAATTTTTTTCCTTCTCTTCCTCCTTCCTTCCTTCCTTCCTTCCTTCCTTCCTTCCTTCCCACAAATCTCTCCCCCTGCTCTCCTCCTCTTTCCTATTTTGTCCTCCAGCAATAGCATTCATGAATGCAGCCAAATAAGTTTAGTTTTGTGTCATCAGCCTATGGTAGTTGGTCCCATGTGGGGACATCTGATGTAAAGGGGGATTGTGATAGGGACGTATGATATAAGGGGGTACAGGTTCTGTTTATTCATACCAATCTAATGACAGCCCAATGTACAATAGTGCTCCCTTTTCACTCCCTACTGACACTGTCCACTGCCCCCACAAAATCATTGTGAAAAAAATAATATAAAAATAATTGTAAAAAATAATAAAAAAATTAGATAATAAAAATAAAAATATTCTGATACCCACTCCATTGCTCTACTGTCACAATCCACTGGCCATCTAAAAGCATTTTGAAAAAATGATAAAAAATAATAAAACATTAAATTGTAAAAAAAAAAATAAAATAAAGAACTACTGACACCATCCACTATCTGACACCATCCATGACTACTGACACCATCCTGCACATACTACCCACCGCCATACACTCCGCACTTTTCTACCTGAACATACTACCCGCCACCATACACTCCACACTGCACATTCCCTATTTAACATTACTACATTCTGCACTATGTAAGTCATCTCAGACACTATTCAACCACACCCCTATTAAGCCATGCCCAATTTTAAACCACACCCACTTTTCACCACAGCATGCTGCATTTTTTCTTTATCACTATGGGTAGCACTTCTGGCTGGCAGTACTAGGGTCATTGGTTCAAATCCCAACCAAGGCACCACCTGCCTGAAGTTTGCATGTTCTC